TAATAATAATAATAATAATAATAATAATGTTATATAAGCGGTAAAAAAATTTAAATTCCGATTAATTACCAAGGACTAACTTTGTAAAAGAGCAAAAGAGTATCAAATTTGGAGTAGTAACACAAAAATTTGAGTGTTAAATTTATTATTGCTAATTATTACTATTACTACTAATTGTTTAGTAATAATGATTCTACTATTATTATTACTAATTAGTGCCACTGTCAAAGAGTGTCAAATTTAGAGTAATAGCACGAAAATTTGCAAAATAATCAATTTCATATAATAATTCAAAGTAAGATTACTTCATCAGTGTGAGATTGGAAATGTATAAGACTGAAAAAAAGCATATGGTTGAGGTCAAAGTTTATTGCAAGATTTAAATTTAAACTTGAATTCAAATGTTCCACGTGAAAAATATGAAAATTTGAAGTTTTAGAAGTTTAAAAGCATGATTCACATATTATTCTGTTCCCACAAATATTTTGTGAAATATTTGTTTATGTTTTCAGAATCTGATGAAATGATTTATGATTTGCAATAAAGTATTCCTAAACATTCCCGCTCATTGCTCTGAATTCTCTCAATGATCAATCGATAATTTTGATAGATGATCAAAATTATTGCGATTCTGATTCCATTTATGCAACATTTGCATCGCTGAAATTTGGTTTGATAAAGAAAAACTTTTTGAATAAATTGATTTGATTTCATTAAATAAGTGACAGTTTATTTAACTGATAAATACATCAGCTATTTTGATAAAAATATTTTGATCACATTTGTTTAAACAATATGCATATGCATAATCAACACGTATTTCTTCTTGGTAAAATGGTAACTCTCTTAAAAATACATTTTAAAAGGTTGATAAAATTTAGGCAAAATACGCCAACTATGATAAGCAATAGGTATAATAAATATAATACATACAATAATAATGATAAATCGAACATAAATAAAATTTGATTTCTTTTTTTTGATAAAAGATTTGATAAAAAGTAAATGATTTATTGAATTTAAAAATTAATCGTTTTAAAATATTTATGAAAAATGAATGATATTTTTACCATTCAATATATTTATTTAATTAATGGGAGATTAACGAAGGAAAACAATCTTTAGGTAAAGTTAGTTTTTTTTTTTCGTATAAAAACAATTATTAATTAGCGGAAAGTGAGATTATTAGAAGACTGATTAGCATTGATCATAAATGGTAAAAGCTTGGAAGGTGGAAGAAGATAAAGAGAGAGAAGCAATTAGGACAATTAGGATAAATGAATATTTAATTACATTCATTTCTTTTTATTCAATTTAAGTAAATGAGAATAATAATGAATTATTTTGTCATTTTTAAAACATTTATTTATCCATTGATTTTTTGTGAAATTAAATTTCATGCAAGAGATCAGAAATCAATTGAAAATAAATTAATAGAAAGAATAAACCAAAAATTAAATAAAAAATGAGCTGTAGTAAAATTAAATACTTAACGATGGAATTATATTTTTTGAAAATTTAACAAAATGGTAAAACTGTCAACCAGATGGATGCATGGCTAAATAGCCCAGAGATATGATAAGGATACAATTTGTAATTTAGCTTAGTAACTTTGTTTTTCTTTCTTTTTTTTTGAGACTTGAAAATGATCTTCAATAATTAATTAAACATTAATTTAATTAAACATCTCTTGCAGGTTTCTTTTTCCAGGAAAAGTCAAAAATGTCATAGCAATGAAGAAATGTGACATTATTTGGTCGTATCAATTCGATGAAATTTTTTCAAATATTTTTTTATAACTAAATTTCATACCAGTTAAGCTAAGGTAAGATTGCTACATTATTATTATTATTATAATCATTTTAAATATTCAAATAGATATATCCTACCTAAAATTATTTCCTCAAAGCTTATTTCGTCTGCAAAATTTAAACAACTTTCAATTATCAGTAGAACAAATGTCGAAAAATTACGGTAATTCGGGATGGCTGTATTGATAAGTTAGGAAATTTCAAAAATTTCCGCACATTCTCAAGCAAATTATTTCGAAATAATAACGACTTTCCACTTTGATTTTACTCCTCTATCAATTTATTTTCTATCTTCCTCAATTTTTTTTTTTAATAATTCTATACCATTTAATAGAAATGATAAATTTATTTTTGCATAATTTCCGGAATGATTAACTTCGAAAAAATTGAGCAATATTTCCAAAAATCATTCATTAAAATTTTTCAAAAGGTTGATCTTTACACTTATTTTATCTTCAATAATTCTATACACCACCATTTAATAGAAAGGATAAATTTGATTATATATACTTTCTGGGATCATTCCGTGGAGAATTTTCATCCGTGGCAAAAAAAAAAAATTATTCAAAAAGATTAATTTATAAATTATTTTATTGAATTTTGAATTATTTGAAAAGCATTTTTGCGGCATAATTTCGTCCAATATTTCCATTTGAATAATTTTCTTTT